ATGAGAATCCCTCAGAGAGGGGGGCGAGAGGCAGGAATATAGGGTCCACGGAGTGCAAAGCGGTAGATAATCGCCCGCGGGAGGAGGCCGCAAGCGCGCACGTTGATTGTCTGCGCTCGCATAATCGTCGTACGCGCAAATGGAATATTATTGCACGCAGAAACTGGTGGTGGGACGGTCGAGGGGTGAAGGAAGGAAGCAGGATGGATGGATGGATGGGGTGGGTGGATGGAAGGGGGTTGCGTACGCGGGCTTAGAACTGAACGGCCTTACGTCGCGGTAAACTCGGCGACGGAAACTGCATTTCGAGTTAATATGGAATCGAGTTAGCGAGATTGTAGCTTGTCAACCGCGCAGTCGGGATAATTTAACTTTTCCGTTAAATGAAAATATTGTCCCGTTTGTTGCTCTCGGTTATTATAGAGCAACAGGAGAATATCGAGCGAGTTCTCTATACGTTGTAAAAAAAATCGCCGGAGGTGCGGAAAGTTTCCCGTGTTATACCCGCGGCTCCTTGCTGTTGCTCTGTTATTTTATCATTGAAATAATACGCGCAATGTGTGTGTTGATGCATTTGTTGCTTTGGGCGTTCTGTGATAATATCGAATTGACTGGGCAAGCACTGTACCCTTCCCAGATTCGGGAACTTATGAAAAACATCGCGTTCGATACGGCGGAATCGTTCGACCCTCGCGGATTACCGCATAGATCAGCTCCACTGTGATCGCACGCGCGCGATCGTATCCTTTCGCCCTGCCTTATTAACGCGAGGTATAATTTACGACTGGCTAAATAGAAGGCTGATTAAGTGCTTCCGCGCTGGACGCGTTGGTAGCAAAGTACGCTATAACTTATGTCTCGCGTGGAAAAAATTTGCTTAGGTCAACCGTGGAAAAAAGGTACTTAGGCGGTGCCGGTAGCGGGCTGCATCGCGGGCGAACATCTTGAGTTCTCCTAAGATGGATTGTGGACAGCGAAATGTCGTGAAATTAGAAGCGCGTAAGCCCGAGGCGAAATTTTAACCCCATTTTTTCGACGGAACTTTTTAAAATCTGCGTATTCTGAAAGACCAGTGTATGTGTGTTCGATACACACATACACTGGAAACTAAAGTCCTACTGAGAGCCTCTAAATGCCAGAAAACGCACCAAATGCCACTTGTAGATTCTAAAGAGGACCTTTTAATAAAGCTAGTAGGTTAAATAGGATTATAAGAGGTTGATGTTGATTGATAGAAGCTTTAGAATATCAAAGTAAACGTTAAATAAAATATTGAGGCTGACAGAGGAATCAAAATTTGGAGTGAGTATTTAATAAAGTTCTCACCTCTAAATAGCAGAAAACGCACAAAATGTCACTTGTAGATTATAAAAAGAACCTCTTGGGAAAGCTGATAGGTTAAATGTAAAATCAAAAGGGTTTAATGTAGGCTTTAAAGTATCAAAGTAGATGTTAAATGGGACACTGAATTTCGATTCGAATGTGTACTTAATACACATAAAAACTGAAGTCCTACTGAGCTCTTCTAAGTAGCAGAAAACGCACAAAATGCCACTTATAGGTTCTAAAAACGACCTGCCGGCAAAGCTAGTAGGTTAAATAGAATCAGAAGAGATTGGTGTAGGCTTTAGAATATTAAAGTATTATTAAGGTATTAAATGGAATATTGAGATCGAAATAAGAGAGATCGAAATTCCGTCTCGAGATGGTAGAGGATATTGAGCAGAAAATATGTGCGCGTTCCGAAGATTTCTGTTTTAATTCATGCACACGCGATTGCACTTTTCTTTCTAAGTAATTAGCAGCTCCTGTGTTTTTAACTAATTATTATTTACTAATTACTTTCATGTCTAATTATTCTTTTATAGAGACGTCTCTTGAACGAAATCAATCTAAACTATTCATTAATGGCATTCTTTTCGCGAAAGCTCCTCTTTTCAGATCTGCGATTTTCAGAGTCGCACGTTAATCGAGAAGCAACGCGCGTTTGTGAAATACGTTCTCGCGTAAATCAGGCATCGCAGCGAAACCGAAGAGGTTCCCTTTTAAAGCGTGAAATCCTCGTGTTCGTCGTGGATATGCACGATGTATCCATTCGTCGTCGCGATAATACGTAACTAATGATGAACGCGAGGTGGAGGGACGCGTTTGACATGCTAAAGAATTGCCTTGCCTTTGACACGTTCCTTCGAGATTTTTACATATAAATTGCGTTATTAATGTGAACGTTAATGAACACCTTTGATACATTCAGCTGGATAAACCAATACGTGATACGCGGCAGCGTTGACGAGAAACGCGTGGTATGATGAAGAATAAAATCGATGTGCGTGGATCTCGCTCTCTTTGCGTTGCGAACCGCTCTATTTGCATAATCCATTAGTCGCCGAATATAAAAATAAAGCGTTGTTCCGACATCCGTGCAAAAAGAGAAAAAAGAAAAATATCTGAAATAACGCGATTAATTAATAACGTATTTTAATTTCTGCCTTATTTTTTGACCCCGTTCGATCCTAGTAAAAAGTACGAACACGACAAAATCGCAGTGAGATTACATGCGAAACATGTGACCCAGAATGTTTTAACAATGGATCATTAATCGGGCTTGAGATTTTTTATATATAAGAAGTCACAATTCCAAGATAACAAGCCGATCATATCTCGCGCGACAAATACTCGACGTGGTCCTCGCGAGGGTTAATTAATTTCTCGGATCGCGCAATAACGACGCATTTCACATTCGCTCATGTTTGCGTTGCGTTGCGTTACGTTACATTCACGCCGGCGAGGTACTGCGACGCCGGTCTTCTCGCGAACGACGAACAACAATTTCCATCCTTCGAGTTCAATAACTCGTTATCGGCTCGCTGCAAGCGGAAATAATTCCGTCGCTCCGAAATCGTCGTCGTCGTCGTCGTTGCGCGGGCGAACTCGGGAACGCGCGGGGACGAGACAGAGAAAGCGAGAGAAAAAGAAAGAGAAGAGAGCGAGGTCCGTCCTATTTTTTTCCCGGTCCCGACAAGAAAATCGAGTTTCACGAAATCGAGTGCTTACAAATTCAGTCCTTAACGAACGAAAACTGTCAACGGCAGTCTGCGCTGAAATTATTTTTTCCTCGGCCCTGCGTTTCGCTCTCGTCGATACAAATAGATTGACTCCGACGCTCGGATTATCGCTGTCGCTTTTATTTTCCGACGGTCGTTCCGCGCGTTTTTTTCTCCTTGTTCGACGATTTTTCTCGATGGCTGCTGTCAATGTTCTCTGTCGACGGTCGTATTATTGGAATGCGGATCAATTAGTTCGTCATCGCCGATAATTGCTATCAAAATTCGCCTAATCGATATGCTCGCTACAATATGCGTGAAAAGTACCGATTTTGTTCGACGAATTTAATCGTTCGACTTGTACGATTATTATTAGATATATCAAAGCGATATTTATTTGTATTAACTTAACCAATACTTTGGTCAATTATGTCAACTGATATTAATATTAGGAGGAGAGGACGACTTCGTTGATATTTAATTAATTAAATATATAAAAGACCCTTTTTCTTGAGCCCACTTTAAGCTCCACGCAAAGAAAAAATAATTAAAATATATTTATTTGTGAGATATAAAATTTATTTCTGTGTGTGAATAAACTTTATATCTCCTAAATGAATTTTCCAGTATTTTTTTAGTGTAAGTTCTTGAAATCCTCCGTCTTCCGTCGCGAAATTTTCGATTAAATACGTCAGAAGCAAGAAAACCTATATCCGTATACCGTAAAATTCTTGCGAAATATACTGAAATAAAAGAACATGTCCATAAAACTGTGAGCCTTGGAATCGACTGAGCATACTTGTCAAATATTCCGAAAACTTTCCTTTTGTTCCAGCAATTAACAAAATCAACGTGACATGCAATCCTTCTTTTTAGCCCATTTTTCCTTATATTATTTTGTCACATCAATTTTACGACTTTATTATCATATATTTTTTTAATATTAATATATTAGTTTTATATATATTAAAGGAACACATTAATTTAAAGATGCCAAAGAGGTATTCGCGGACTTGTGGTCGTCGGTGCGCTTCTGAAATTTCCGCGAGCTGCAGCTCGCAACGCGCGGCCGGAAATCGCGTGGCGGCTGCGCGACCGTGATGCGGCGAACAATTCTTCGCTTTCGCGACTTATCCGAGCGGCGGACACCACTACCGGCGAGAGACACGAAATCTCCGCTCGACTGCCGCGTTTCCGGTGCGCGCTCTCTCTTTACAGATCGTTAGCATATCTTCCTTCGCTCAAGGACGGAATATCAAAGTTACACCGGCGCGGCGCCGGCGGAGATAGCCCCTTTTCTTTCCACTCCTCCGCACGCTCCGCCACCGTAAATTGTGTTCCTACGGCAATTCAGTCGTGAATCTTCCAGCCGAACGAGCCGCTGCCGTTTCCAATTACAGGATGGACTTTGATTCGTTGAGGCTGCCAGACACGCGAGGAATCGGGGATCAATATTGAGATTCTTTTGAGTCGCGGCCCGGCACTCCGTCTGAGGACGGAAGAGGAGCGGAGCGACTCGGAGCGAATCTTCCGGTCGCAAACCGGAGGTTTCCCGACCAGAGAATGAGAGGCAGAGAGGAAGAGAAGAGCGCGGCCGCGATTAATAACTCAAGGAGTAGCTAGACAGACGCGGTTAGTTTCTGTTTCGTGAGCGCGTCTCACAGCGCTCTGTGATTATGACTCGCGGAATGAACCTCACGAGCGCAGACTGAGGAAACTGCACGCGTTCGCGTCGAAAACGGACGCGGCCGAGCTGGCGCGAATCCAGGTTGGCGGCTAGATCCTGAGATTTTCGAGTCCAGAAATGAGTTTACGCAGTTACACGTGGACTTCCGAGTCACGAAGCCGGGTCGCGAAAACGAGCTGACTCGAAACCAGCTTGAAACTAGATCGCAGGAATCGGATTAGATTTAATTTGGATTTCGCACACACGCGCACCCTCAACGTGAGGAAAAGTCTCGTGAAGGCTATTTAGACGCTGTTCCATGTCCTTCGTCTTCTCTTCATTTTTTTCACTCGTTTTATTGTTATTTCTTTTTTTTATAGTTCCTAGATCCGATATTTTTAACTAAAGTATAAAAAATTATTTCACATATTCTATGCGAAGGAAGTTTTATAGTAAAATTTATTATAAAGCTGTGAAATAGATCGACATTCTGCATTAATTGACTTGACTCGAGCCGAAATTGTGATCCCACTTTGGACTTCAATATTCCATTTAACGTCTACTTTGACATTCTGACACCTACATTAAGCTCTTTTGATTCCATTTAACCTACTAACTTTGCCGAGAACTCTTCTTTAGAACCTATAATGGCATTTTACCCGTTTTCGTGTCATTTAGAGATACCAAGTAGAACTTTAGTTCCCATGTGTATTAAATATTCACTAATCCTTCAGAATGCGCAGGCGTTAGGAAAATCAAGTCGGAAACGAGGCTAAAATTTTAAGACTGAAGAAACTTCACTTTCGATTTTGGGAATTAAAACGTGCCATTAAAAAATTTGCTATATGTCTAACGAGACTTACCATGTTTTTTAACCAGATGGTCTTTCTGACAATCTATTTCTCTTCTGTACTACTAGAAACATAATAAAATTTATATGAAAAATAACTATAATATATATTCCTCCCCCATGTATATATCCCATGTTTTTTCTCTTCTTTTTATTTCTCCACACGCTTTATCGTCATTTTCGCGGAAACACATCATTTCTATTTTGTATTTTCATTTCTATTTCCTAGATTCAATGTGTCCGACGAAAGCGTAAAAAATGATTTACATATTCGACGCGCATGATGTATAAGTAACTATTACGTGCATACTGTCGCGATACACATTCATAGATATCTTAATATATCTTATTGGAAACGATACGGAAATATGAGGAATACGAGCAACACAATGTTGCGTGCGTAAAAATTAGCAACCTGTAAACCGCTCGATCGTAAATCATCCACCCTCTCCAACCACCGGAGCGTTCCCCGCAGATTAGTCATCGTCCCTGCCCTGAGCCCCTACCGCGTAATCGACACTTCGCGATAAGAGCCACCTACGACTAATGAACTTATCCTCCGTCATCAGTACACGTAATGCTTCTTATCCTGCATGACGCACGGATCCTGCACGGATTGAAACGTATTCGGGGGTGTACAAGTTTTCTGCGGAATCTTCAATATCGGCGTGTTCTTCTTCACCAGCACGCGGCGGGCCACGAAGGAGACGGCCAAAACGACTATGATCAGCAACGAGGAACCCAACGTGATGGCCATGAACGACGCGACTGTCTTCAGCTCGGTGACACGTGACAACAACTTGACGTGAGCCCACGCCTCCTCCAGCTGACCATTGCTTCCCGCGAGACCGGCCACGCACGTCCACCGACCCTCGTCTTCTTTCGAGCTGTAGTCTGGAGTGAATACGAAGCGTGAACACAAGAGGATGAGGAGACTGAAGAGGAGGAGGTAGAGGAGGACGAAGAGGAACTCCTGCGAGACCGGAGACGACCAGGCTGAGGGACGAGTGAGAGAAGTTGTCGCGGGAATTCGTCGAGTTCTCGCCCGAGGACACGAGAGAGAGAAAACGCCAACGACGGGCCGGAGAGGGTTTGCGAAGGTGCGGGCGCGCGTCCTCTCGTATTTTATAGATGTTTCCTCGGGAATCGATTTCATTCGGGCGTGCGCGAGTATATCAAGTAGTTGGTATTCCGGCATATAAAGATGGAACTTTTCGGAGTACGGAATTTTCACGCGCGCTCCTTCCACTTCTTCTTTTTCTCCGTTATCCCATCGTCCTGTTCGCCCGCCCACCCTTCCGTCCGTCTGTCCGGTCCGTCCGAAGTTTCATTTGGCGAGTGTTTACGGCGGACCCGAGCTGAATTTCCGCCACCTCGATAGCTCGCGATTTCCCCGGACTGCGACTTCGCCGTGCCTGGTCAGAGTAAGCTGTAATCTTTCGTGCTCGTGCGTCTTACCGTATTCGGCCGGAATTTGGTCACGTAGCTGATGCATCTGGTATAACTTCCGCGCGACGTTACGCGCTCCCGCAGTTTGCCTCGGAACGGAGTCCCCAAGTCGAAATATTTACCCTACTTTCGATCTCAATGTTCCATTTGCCCAACTAGAAATTTATCCCATGATCCTCATCAGGTTGATTCTAATCAGCTATGTTTTGCATAAGGCGATATTATCAGCTCTTGATAAGTGATGTAACGTGGCATTAGGACTTTATTAATAATAAGAACTATTAACTATTATTATTAATAATAAGAACTATTAACATTTAGGACTTTATTAATAATTAGGATCTGATAGCATCATTTTATATAAACCAGATAATTGATTTGGATTAATCTAATCATGGGATAAAGGAGGATGCCCAAAATATATAGAAACCCCATCCGTCGTGGACAACGATCAAACCTATGTCAAATCATAATTCCCTATCTGTACTTTAATTTTGTCAATGAACACCTTCTTGTATCTAGTAGCTGAAAAGAGATATAGGTGGTTAAAGTAGCCAAAGTTTCAATACTTTTCCCCTTATACCTCCCCTTTGCCTTTATAAAATTTCATCAAATTTTGAATGGTTGCACATTAGTAAAAGAACAATTTTGCAAAGTCAGAAGTTCTGGGTCAGATGATTGAGCACGATTGATTTAATAGAAGTATAGTAATTAAATCGTCCAACGACTCTAGTTAATTTTAGTTTTCAGCTAATTGCTTTTTTACATATTTTTTCATATTTAATTATCTTTATATACATTTATTTGGAAGAGTTTTTATTTCATGTACTCTAGTATATATATATATATATATATATATATATATATATATATAGTATATATATCTAGTATATATATCTAGTATATATATCTAGTATATATGTTCACAGACACGTGGATGCTATGGACTAATATTACAAAAGGACAATTTTTTATTTTTAAGAATAAGGACTTAAAATCATGAGGTACGAGTTGGTTTATATATAAATCTCTTGATAATATATTGTATCCCAAATATGATCGAAAACATTTCTCGTTTTTGCGAAATATAAATATTTATGTAATATAATTTTGAAACTCTATATTTTCTCTTCAGACATTTCGGACAGAGATGAGTCCACGAGCAAAATTGATGTACTCGAAGAGTACTATTTCTTTGATATAGGTTTTATTCGTATCTACTCGGGGGTCGTTTTGAACATCCGTTTCTCTAGTCGGGTAAAACGGCCACTTTGATACTCTGACAAGTTTCGACTCGATGGCAGCTGTGTTGGTTTACCCGATCGCAGATCATGTAGTACATGGAAATATATAGATTCGGGATATCTCGCTCAATCTCGGATGTAATCGCGATGTGTCGTTAATTATTATTAATGTAACGCGTTCGACGGCGGCAGCGACCGGATTAATCCGCGGAGTTATTCGCTCGAAATACTGAAATAATCAACGGCGATGTCGAAATTGAAAGCGAGATTGGTGCGCATCGCGCCGATTGCAATCACGACGCGCCGTTAATTACTGGCTTCGATGTAATAATCTATTCGCCAAACTTATTTGGAAGACAGATTTTCGCGTGACAAGGCGCGAGAGTCCTGAATGGACTCTCGTTTAAGCGGCAACATCTCGGCACTGTTCGCCGATCACCACGATCGCCTCTTTAATGGTCGCAACTACTGTTGCACGCTAAAATCGTCACTTCGCCGAAATTGCGGTAAATCTTCGAAATAGCGATTTTCGTCATTCGGAACACGACTTGATTGTTTCGTATTTGCATAAAAAATGGCAAAAAGAGATTTTAAATATGTTTCAATACAAATTGAAAGAACAGTCTCGTGTCATTTTTATTTTCAGTTATACGAATAGACGTTTAATTCCATTTTATACAAACGACTATTTTTCGAATTTATTTTTCTCATATCACGAAATGACCAGCTGAAATAAACAGGTCTCTGTGAAATAAATATGTCATGTAAAATTCCACAGAGATCGCCTCAAGCGTATCGTGTTGCAATTGCGTGTCGCACAGGCGTTTGCATAAGTTGCGCGAGGAAAATGCGCGAGCCCGCATAGACAATTCCTTGGGATCTGATTGGATGCAGCTCGATTTCTCAAAATAATTATGGGTTTTGGATAGAAGTGTAATGTTTCAAACATGCGACTCCAAGTAAGGAATCTTAAAGTTATCCCAATATTTTCTCTAGTTTTCATTTTACGTTAAAATTGAACAAAACATGCTGACTTTTCAGATAATTCCACTGAAATGCTCAAAGTATTCTACAAATATTTTATTTGTGGAACTTTTACTCTATTAAATACAATAGTTGGTACAAAAAAATGGAATTCCCTATTTGATACCATAAAAGCATATCGACATTACCGACTGAAAAAAGTGTGAATTCCCATAGTATTTCTGTTTAAGTTTTTAGGCAGAGAAATTCATGCTTGGAAAAAAATGGGACTTCCAATTGGCATCGTAGAGGGATAACCGATGTTGGGACAAATTTAGGCATTCTAATTGAAGTCTATGCTGCATTTGGGAAAATCTTGGGAAATTTCTACGTGCTAGATGAACGGGCAGATGGATGTAGCGTTCATTGAAATCGAAAACGACGCGAGTCTCGCAAGCTGTAGTCGCGCGACGTGTCGTTAATTAATATTAACGTAATAGTGATCTATGCGCGGTTCGTTCAGTATAACATACGCGACGTATGTTATACACACAGGCACACATATATACATATACACAGGTGAGCACACATGCGGCATGGCAATTAGGCTGACTTTGTTACATTAGTACGCACGTAGCGCGACCCGTGCCCGTCGTACTTACTCAGGATGACTAATCTGCACTGGGAGTAGCTGCTGTTGGTCGTATATCGATGGCTTATGTCATTGTAAATTCCATATCCGTCGGGGCGGATCCACCGGCAGTAATGAACTGTTCTGTCCAGCATACGCGGAAGGATGTGGCAAGACAGAACTGGATCGTTCCGAGGGCTGACGGCTATTTCCGTTTGCTCGGCCGCGAGGTAGCTTTCTGAAAAGCCGTTTATATGACGTCTCATTGGAAGGAAACGTCTAATGACGCGCGTCGCTACCGACGTGTAATTTCGTTTCTCTCGCGTCGGAAGTGCGAGCGCGCGGGCAGCGAGAGCGAACCGACGACCGACCGGAAGCGTCGCGTTTTCCATCGATTTATCTCCGCGCGTGTGCGAAATACTGTCGCGAATCGTCGTATCCACCTATCCTCCGCGCGAATGACTCCCTGCTTTCTGAGAGGATTATTCTACACTTGTTTTATAAGGCGATAGAAATGCACACCCTGGTAGAAATTTAATGCAGTTTCTGAGCGGTTATTACGGGCAGTGATGTTAACTTTTGTCTGGTAATTCTGTAGAATAAATCTTTGCTTAGGATCCCAATTAAGGGATTTAACCCATTTCCTGCAGTTACTGCGCGCGAAATATGCACAAAATTTGAAGCCGTTTACTGCTTTAAAAGCAGAGCAGAAAATGGACGAAAAACTATTCAATTGGTTAATAATCAAGTTTGCTGTTGATAAAATGGGCAGGTGTACCCTGGTAATATTTTATTTTTTTGTGCAAACTTTCCAATTGAACAATTTTAACGCTAATAATATTTTAATAATGAGATTAAAATTTTAATGCTAATGAGATTAAAATTCTAACGCTAATGAGATGCTGATAAGATAGCGCAGAAAATCTTTGACGCGTAATATAATATTTTCTCGAGGTTTTCATCTTTTATTTGACAATTAATGATATATAACCTTTTGTTCATTCTTATAGTTGTACTATTCCGTTGGATTCTGAGTCCGAGCTAACATGACAGTTTTCATTTGTGTCATACTATCAGCCTGATGTGTTCTCAGCGCAATTAGAAATTCTGTATATTATTGATATATACCTCATTTGCCTTTTCTTTATCTAATCTTAGTTGTCATCTCTGTTACAGATCTTAATATTTTCAAATGCCTTATTTTTCCCAATTTCCCTTATTTTGTTCTACGTTTTTTTTACACTCATTGCTCATATTTAAGCTTTTATTTGGCAACATAAATATGTATAAAACTGCATACATTTCTCTCTCTCAACCAGAGCACAGTCTATAGGAATAATTATCCGCTTTTCTTCTCGCGGAGATACCGGCCGGTTTCCCCGCGTGAAAGGCGTTTGTGCAATAATATGAAGAAGCAAAGTGCACGCGTGCGCGCTATCTGTTGGCTGTTACAAAGAATTATAAAATACTGAGCTTGCTAATTGTGTTAACGTTAACCAACCTTTCTGTTGTTACGCGTTTTCACGCAGCAGCGGCGGCGGCGACGGCTGTAATATCGCCTTTGAACCCGTGAAAGGCGCTACTGTGAAATCGCCGAAATGCAACGCGTCGTGAGATTCACATAACGCGCGGAAGGTGTACGCGCAGCGGATTGTGAGCTGCGCGGTGTAAATGTGTACATTATTAACGCAACTTCGCGGTTGTGTGCTCCGCCAACTGAGCGACATTAGCGCTTTTTAAGTAACCCGTTGCATTAGGTGGAACCTGTCAAGCGTTGCGCGTTCGCAGGCCATCTCGGCAAATAACTTAGTTATCTCTTCATCTCGAGATTACTTAGTTAATTAGTTTCGCGACTATACGCTGGCGGCATGAAAGAAGCGCTATTAAGCTCACTGCTGGTAACGACGTTGATGATACATCCCGGGATTCCGTCTTTCGTTTTTAGCCGGAATTAATTTCTTAGATACGAGCAATTTCTCACGGATAATATCGCAATGATAATGTTGCAGACTAAGGTTAAACAAATTCCAGATACTCCCGAAGACGTCGCTATCGCCGAGAAATTAAGCACGCTTTGGCACGCCGGAGCTTAACGTCAAGTGGAAGCTTCAAACGAGCGTGAATTAAAATTCGCGCGTGAGAAGAAACGCCATGAGGGAGATTTTTTATATAATTTACGAAAGATCGAGCATTTTCCAACCTGTCACCGTCACCGACACCGTTGCGTTGCTCTCGTCGCCGTCCACCACGCCCATGTAACAATTCCATTGTCCACCATCGGAGTTGACGGCCGCCGAAATGCGCGCTCCGCACTCGCCGTACGAGAGACCGTCGCCTTCGTAATGCAGACCAAATTGGACGTCCTTGCCTTGCGTGACGGAGTAAGCCGTTCCGTTCGGACTCCGCAACCAGCAATACTTGAGCGCGAAATCGACGGCGCACTTTATCTGATGCGAGATATGCTTGTGTCAGAACCGTGCTTTCGCGCTAAATTCATCGATGAATGAGTGGATGTATCGTGTTAGCCGTAGCCGCGGGATAAGAAGACGCTACCTCTTACAAGTCGTTTTCTCGCGATGCTCGAGACTCGACGAGACGTTGGATGTTGATTTAAGCGAATAAAAGGAAAATACGACTCGGTAATTGAAGCGGAGAATTTTCTTCGATGTCGAAACGTGCCACGCGAGTAAGTGATTTAAAATTGACCTGCGCACTATGTCATGCGGAGAATTAGCAGCGTGTAATCAATTTGTTTGTTTAATGGCCGAGCATTTCGAACATTCGACGCGCGGAGAAACTCTGAAATAATCGCGTCAACGCGCGTCAACGATTTAATCTGACGCAAAGTCAAACTTTTGTTTTCCAAAATTTTTTATATTTGTATCGCTCCTCTCTCTTTCTCTACGCATGATTATTCTATGAGATAAAAGGATTTCTCGGCGTCCACCGGCGAACATATCGCGAGTAGTTTGAGGTTTATGTCGTGAATTTACCGTGAACGAGTCACCACGCTTCACGTGCACATCTTCCGCCCTGGTTTCGACCGCTGCTCTGCCTTTAGCGTCAGTGTTTCCGTCACGAGAACCGGGCTGGCCAACGTAAAGCACAGATCCATGCATATCGGTGGAATACCTGACGCCAAGGTCGCATCGCCATGCACCATAATCGACGCTCGCGAGCTCTCGGATTGTTATTCCGCATTCCAAAACCTTGCTCGTGTATCCATACGCAGGGCTAATGTAGGCGGAGTATCTGTTTCGCAGTCCCGATGAATGATTCATGTTTTTCTGGCCGGAGCGACGAAAAATTCGTCGGATACGATATTATCTCGCGTTTTCATTTTCATTTTCTACTTTTTTTTTTTTGATTCTCTCGTTTTTTTTTTTCAAAACGCTGCGCATAATCACGCCAGTTTCGTGTAAAACGTTTTCGTGTAAACCAGATATTATTGAAACGCTAAATTAACACCGCGGGCTGTCGATTTGCATAGCTACCTTTCGTTAGCGACCACGGGCGTTATGTAGATCGTTCTGCTGTCGGGCCGGACAAAGTTGCACGTTTGCAAAAAAGTCGCGCTCCACGACTCCAGTCGACAGAGCAATCTGACACCGGAGTTCTCGGTGTAATTGACGCTAGCACTGAGAGTTATACTATCTGAAAGGATGATTTCTGTTTTCCCTTCTGTTATCGACACTTCGCGGCACTCCCTCCCGCTTTCCAGCTTCTACTCAGAAGTTTCGCAACACTTAAGGGTTCTTAAACAATAGGAGACTCCGATCTTATAAGTTCAGCGAAATGATACCTTCAATTGAATTACTTTCAATCCTCCGTTCGCCCAACTTCAACTTCGAATGTCTCACTTCGCGTGTCTCCAATAAATGACTTATTAGGACCTTAACTTAGTTTCCGCCCAAAAAATACTGAGAAAAAGCATTTATTGTAAAAAATTTATTTAAATTATTTCAATGAAAGTATTTTCCATCACTTTCTACAACTTTTTGCCATCTTTCTGGCAACTGGGCGATACCATCTCGATAAAACGATGTTTGTTTCGAAGCAATCCATTCGTCCACCCATTCTCGCACTTCTTCAACATTTCGGAAGCGTG